GTGACCGGGACAAGGGGTGGAGGGATGAGGGTGTTAAAAGGAGGAGCAGGGGTACAGGGTAACAGGGATTGTTTTTCACATGGAAACGATAAGTAATACGAGAAGAAAGTAGCTTCCTCTATGTTACCACACTTCTTAACCCTCCTCCCACGTATTATACATATATTTCTCCTTAGACCAATGACAAGGGTATTCCGAAAAATTTCTGCGGGGTGCATTCCGCGTGTCTTTTTAAAACAGCAGAGACTGCCTGGCGCTCTACGTTCTTCCTTTATCCTGATCTTCGTTCGAATTCTATGTCACGTGTCCCTTTTTTTTTCTCGTGTTTCTTTCTTTCTTTTTTTTTTTTTTTTTTTATCGGAACATACCAAAAAGAAAAAGAAGAAGACAATAGGTAACATCATCTATTCGTTACGACAATTTTTCGAAACATTTTATTCGCGATATATATAGCTGGACGTACGATTGGAAGGTTCGATTATTGAAGGAAAAAAAGAAAGAAAATGAAAGAAGAAAAAAAAAACGAAAGGCAGAAAAAAAGAAAAGGGAAAAAAACAAAAAAAGGATGATTTTTTTTTCCCTCCTTTTCTCGAGGACAACAACAAATCCCACGACGAAAAGGAAGTCGTTTGGCACGTTAAGAAAATACGAATTCTCACGTCTTCTCTTTTTTTTACCTTTCCCTTTTCTCTCTCTTTCTTTCTTTCTTTCGCTTTTCTTCCTTCCTTTTTTTGTTTCATTCCTTTTTCTTTTTTTCTCTCTCTCTCTCTCTCTCTCCTTCCTTCTTTATATATTTCTTTGGGTTGTTGTGTCGATTCTCACACTACGAAGAGGAGAACGCAACGAAACCACCGGATCTTTCACGTTAAAAAAAACCGACTGAGTATACAAAATCGCGTTAGTTAGATAGAGACGACGGGGGAATGAGAAAGAGAGAGAGTGTGAGAGAGAGAGAGAAGAAAGGAGAAAGAGAGCTCGGACAGGCAGCTGAGATAATGGGAAGGAAATCAGTTCATTTCTATGTTGATCCCAGGGTGCCGTAGCGTGTGTTCAAAGAGCCAACTCGATCGGCTCGGTGATCGAGAAAATCGAGTCTCAGAAAAATCGTGTCGGCTCTCTACATGTTAAATACATTCAACGTGAGGTTAGAACCACCGTACGCGGTTAAAGCTTGCGGAACGCGAAATCACGAGAGATCGAACATTGTAATTTCTTTAACGACGATATCCTATGTCGAACGAGAAAGAAAAAAAAAAAAAAAAAAAAAAGGAAAAGAAAGAAAGAAAGAAAGAAGGAAAGAAAGAAAAAAAAAACAAACAAACAAACAAACAAACAACGTTGTGTCATTTTTCTATTTCCTGTTTTCCTTTTCTTTTTTTCTTTCGATTAACACGCAACAACTTTCTTCGATCAATCATATCGTTTGTCCAAGCTTAAAAAAACAAACACACACACTTAAATTTTTCTTTCGACTAATCTAATTCCTTTATATCAATTTATGTCGTTTAAATGTTACATCCAATGATACTAATCGAAATAGAAAGAATTCAAAATGTCAATTAAATGCAAAGGAAGAATTTTAATTCGTTATGATATCTATCGGTTCATCAGTAGAATAGAAATAAGAAAGCTGTAAGTTTTGCGGTAGAAATACCCACTACTTGTAACCTTCCCAAGGGGATCTGGAACGCGGCTAGCCGAGCAATTTGTCAACACCATTAGTCGGCTAGGGGGCAAGGGGGGAGGAAGGGGGAGGAGGTGACTAGCCAAGGGTTGACTTTGGCGCATCTGCCGGCCGATCGCAAGGCGCCACAATAAAAGGGGTAGTTAATGACAACGGGGTTCACTCTGATCGAAGACCCTAAAGAAGAGGCCGTATGCCAAGGGGCCTGTTGACAAAATATTGCCAGTGGCATTCACCGAACGAATTTCCGAAACGGATTTCGTACCAAGGGTTCAATCTGCCAATCGGATTTTGATTTCTATCATTAAAAGGACCATTCCATTTATACGATCGCCAATTCCTCCTGATCATTTAACGATGATTAATCCTTTATTTTTCTTTCTTTCATTTGTTTGCATCCTTCGAGTCCCGCTTCATCCTTGGCTCTTTTTTCTTTTTTTTTTTGTTCAAAAAGAAGAAAAGTAAACGATCGTCCGGAGACTTTATTTTCAGGTGAAGGAGGGGAGAAAGGGGGAGGGAGGGGGAGGAGGGAAGAGAAAAAGAAGAAAATAAAGAAACTGTCGATTTTGTCGGCGGTAAGTTCAACGACGTACAATTCGCGGTTTGAAGTTGTTGGAAAGGATGATGATGATGGTGGTGGTGGTGGTGGTTTTGGTGCTGGTGATAGCCATGGTGGTAGGTGGGTGAGTGGGTGGATAGGTGGATGGGAAGGTGGGTGAGTGAATGGATGGGGGTGGGTTGGGATAGTCTAAAGGGGTCCTCGAAGCTGAAACTGAAACGGGGATAGGTGGGATGCCATTGGAATAAGATCGGCTTTAGCCGCAGTGTCGGGTTCGAGCCCCGGGATAAGTCTGCCTTATCCCGATAAGCCGGTGAGTTAATGAATCACAAAACAGGTGGTGGCGCTACCGCTTCGAGAGATCGTCTTCTTCTTCTTCTTCTTCTTCTTCTTCTTCTTCTTCTTCTGTCCCTGACTAACCGAGTTTCTCAAAAAGATCGAATCTTTTTACTTCGAGTATCTAAAAATACGTATAGTCTACGTATCCGTTTGGGTTTTCGTGAAAGGGATGCCGGAAAAGCGATGAATAAAAAAGGGTTTCCGTGAGATCTGAGACGATTATCGAAAAATAAGAAGATCGCCATAGGAAGAAATATAAAAAACGATAGGAAGAAAATTGTTAGAGACTTCGTTCGTGGTACCGTGACCAGAGTTTCATTCGGGGAAAAAGAAATAAAAGTTGAACGTTGGCCGACGAAAGATTTCCTTTCTAACTCTTCCTTCCTTTTCTTCTTTTCTTGTTTTTTCTTCTTCTTTTTTTTTCAATTTTTTTCTTTTCTTTCCTTTCCTTCTTTTTTTTTCTTTTTTTTTTTTTTTTTTTTTTTATCTTTCAACGTCGCGCGTATCTCTCCAGAACGCGTGAAATAACACACGATGGGTGTGGTGTGGCTTATCGAGGCGCTATTCGTACGAAAATTTTTATCTCCTCACCACTCTCTTCGTCTCGCCTCGCACCTGACGAGAGAGAGAGAGAGAGAGAGAGAGAGAGAGAGAGAGAAAGAGAGAAAAAGAGAGAGAGGAGCAAGAAGCCTACGACGTTGTTTTATCGCACACGAGAAACTTCACCTTCGTCTCTAACACGAAGATGAAACTAGAAAGCAGGTAGATAGGTAGGTAAGTAGTTTTATATATAGGTGGGTTATTCGTCTAGTCGGTACTTAACAACTCAAACGAACAAAGTTTTTCTGATGATAGTCGAAAATTGTCCTTGGTGATAAGATGATCGAAGTATAAGTAGGTATTCACAATCTTTTTGTCTTTTTTTTTTTTTTCTTTTCCTTATTTTCGTTATTTTTTTCTTTTTTTCTTTTTCTTACTTTAGTTAGTTCCTTCCCTTTCTGATTCTGTTTTCTTCTTTCTTCCTTTTTCTTTTTTTTTTTCTTTTCTCTTCCTTTTGAAAAAGTAAAAGGAACAAAAAGGCAGAAGGAATCATAATCTTTTGCCACCATTAAGAATACCTCTATATACATATTATCTTCTGTTTGTAGTTAGTCAGTTTGTAATAGTCGTCAGATAACCATCTGAATGTGTCGAGAGTCGAGGGGGAAAAAAAAAAAAAGAAAAAAAAAGAATATGTATCGTTGGAGATACAACTTATTTTTACTTATCGCGATCATTTAGATATCAGGTTGGTTCGTTGGTAGTTAGGTACCTTACAATTGAAAATTCGAGAGTATTTCGCACGTATTCCGTTCGTTATCCGTATCTCTTAAATATGTGAATAGATGAGTAGTAAGTACATACGTAAGTATGTACACACACACACACATATGTATATATATATATATATCTTCCTCGTCGTAGAACAAATTCGTTTTAAAATTCAATTAAATTTAACATTAACTGTAATAAAATTCGAAACTAAATTTTCTTATCGTATAACATTTTATTATTATGCATTATTCTAAAAAAAAAATCATATGGACGTCTGAAATCTGCTGAGTCAAGCGATATATCCGAGTATATACGAAGAAAAAGATTTTCACGATCCGGAAAACGAACAACGTTTACTTATCGCGGACGAATAAACGTGACGCTTGATAATATCGAGAATAACAAAATTAAGCGCAAATGACGGGTGCTTAAAACGCGATCGTTGCCCGATAAATATTAAGCGAAAACACAACGATTAACGGACTTAATCGATAATTAAGACCGTTGCGATTCGAACAAGGACAATTTTCTCGCAACCTCAAAATCATAATGAGATTTTATTTTGTAAGCATTTATTATCTTTTGTTATTACAGACGTTCGTCAAAATAAAGACGATAATAAAACAAACAGATATATGATCGATTTCGATACGAGATGAGAGAGAATTCCTTCAAATCTATGAAAAATTCAAGGACGATAATACAGGAGAGTTAAGTAGTAAAGATCTTAGAAAAAAGCATACAGAGAAAGAGAAAGAAAGAGAGACAGAAAAGAACAAGGAAAAGAGTAAAAAGAAAAAGAGAACGTCGTACTAAAACACAAAAATTCCTTATCTGGATTATCTCCCTTATCTTTAACACGGTCTCCGACAATCTGTCACTTTGGTGAATACACGAAGAACCGTCCGTACGACCTTCCTCCCCCCTCCCTCCCCCTTCCTCCCTCCCTCCCCCGCAAACATGCGAAAAACAAAGAAGAAAAAGAAGACGAAGAAAGATAGATAAAATTATACAGAACATAATAAATAAATAATATATGAATTCTCTTTATCATTCGATGCGAATCGAATGTAGAAAAAGCCGGTATTGTTAACGACTCACCAC